TGCCAATGGAATTAGTATTTTTACTCTTAAAATAAGATAATTAGATAAAATGCACTTGAAATAAGACAATGCAATTGTGTTTTCTTATTTTAAATGTACATTTTCTTGTTCCATTGGCAAAATGCCCCTTTAATTTGAAATAAGTAAATTTTTTCCTGAGTTGAGCAGGTACACTGCAAAAAATCTAAATCTAGATAAGTAATTCTTTCTTAAAATAAGTCCTTTTGTTCTTGAATTGAGGAGGTAAAAGAGACATTTTGCCAATGGAACAAGACAATTTACACTTAAAATAAGAAAACACAATTGCATTGTCTTATTTCAAGTGCATTTTATCTAATTATCTTATTTTAAGAGTAAAAATACTAATTTCATTGGCAAACTATCTCATCTACCTACTCAAATTAAGGGTGAATACACTTAATTTAAGTTTAATTTTTTTTCCTAAAGTTTTTTAATTTTTTCACCTATTTCTAGATATTTTTTGCAGTGTAAAGCTTTTTGCTGGATTACAATCTAATGAGCCTTTGTCCAGCTGATCTATGAGACTCTTTGCACCTTAAGGATATTGATTTAATTCATGAAATTTGTGCTAAAAATAGTTCAAACTGTTCTACAATTCAAAGGAAATTACAAGAAATTGTAACGCTTTAGTACAAAAGACTTGACTTTAATCACATTAAATGATGGTTCTGTAAATATAACCCTATGGCTCAAAATTAGGAGGGAACAAAAATGACAGACTGCATAATTATCATATTTTGTTGTCTTATCTTTTTATCTTTCTATATGACTCAGATACATAAAGAAAGGTTTTGTAGAGAAAAAATCTCAGAGAAGCTCGTTAGATGGATATCCATCATGCGTATAGATGACAGGATCGATGGCGTGGAAATAGCTTAGCTGGAGCTGGATTGAGTCTCCAGGCTATCCAGGCTACAGGATGTGGGATGGGGCTGGTATGTGGGGCAATCGCTCAATTTCAATCTCGCACTTCTGAGGCCTGATCGTTGAACTTTAATTAACTGGGGCTGTTGTTTATTATGAGGAAGATGCGCAGCTGCTCCAATATCTTTCAGCCACAGAATGAAAAAAAAAACAACATACAAAAATGAGAGAACTGTGGATTGAAGCCCAGCTGGTTATTTAATGTATCAGCAGTGCGCTCTGGAATGACTCTGCGGTTGAGCTCATGCACTGTGGCGTAGGTCTGTTAATGTTGAGAACACATGTCTGAAGGAAAGGAGGCCGCTTGGCTCTGCTTCCGGCCTCCAATGTGAACCAGAAACGTGAAAGTCGATATGAAGAGCAGGCCGGTCGCTCAAACTAATTGGTTTAGGTTAGAACAACAGTTAAAAAAAAAGATTCACCCATGAGAACAGAAGACCAAAGCAGCTTCCTGGTGCTTTTGAAAAGATTTCACTTTCCAATTTTATGCCACAAATGTTTAGATTTTGGGGGATTTTAAGATATCAGTCAAGCAGAATACAAGTGTG